CTCGCGAGCGCGAGCCAACCAGCAGCTACTGGTTGCCCACACCATCTGCTCCGTGTGCCAGAACAGAATATACCGGAATGTGACATCAGTCAAATGCAACACATGCCTTGGCTGGTGCCACTTCCGGCTATGTTCTGGTCTCCGCACCACTACAGCGCCCCTTGCTGTAGTGCACCGCCGGCGCAGACAACAACGCCCACATCGCAGCCACCTACCATCAAGCTGCAAAAGCAACTGCGTCAGGCGCAACAGGCCCAAGGTAGGCCCCACACTTCCCTCACTCCCCGTATCGCGACCAGCCTCCCAAGGCATACGAACGTACTCCAACTCAACTGCAACGGACTCCAGAGCAAGATTGGGGAGATAGCAGTCTTCATGGGTCGGCACGGCATATTGATAGCTGCGGTCCAAGAAACGAATTTGCACAGCAACTCATCTTTGCTGGGTTGCGCCGCCTACAATGTGCTCCGTAAAGATCGCGAGCGAGATAATGGTGGAGGATTAGCGTTCATTCTACACCACACAGTGCAGTATCGGCTAATCGAAGAAGACATCGACCCAAGGGACACTACCCTAGAATGTCACGGAATAGCTTTCCGGTCAGGCGATGTCGAGCTCGAAATATTTAACGTGTACATACCCCCTGTCACCTGCTGCCCGGCTGGATATCTCCCTGACATAGGTGCGCTACTCAGAGGCGAAAACCGATAGTTAGTAGGTGACCACCACGATCTTTGGAATTCAAGCCTGGCCAATGATCGGAGGGGAAACATTTGGGCTGAGCAGATAGACGATTCGACATTCTGCACCATGAACGACGACGCCCCCACCAGGATTGTGGGCGGCTGCAGCAGCTCGCCAGACCTAACAATTGCTAGCGCTGGTCTGATAAATAGCATATCATGGCGACCTATGCTAACGTTAGCATCAGACCATCTGCCCATAATCATCTCGATCAATAAGCCCACCAACTTTGCTCCCGCGGATCACCGAACGTACACCAACTTCAACAAAGCTGATTGGAACGGCTTCGCGGAAGTTACCGAGAGCAGCTTCGCCGCCCTCCCCACACCCACAGACGTACATGCTGGCGAACGCCAGTTCCGCAGGGTAGTCACTGCCGCAGCAGCTCGCTTCATACCGTCCGGACGTATCGCGGAAGTCCGCCCAAATTTCCCGGCTGAAGCAGCTGTACTAGCAAATGAGCGTGACCACCTACGCCAGGTCGATCCCGGGGACCCTCGCTTGAGGGACCTTAATTCGGAGATTCGGCAACTGGTAAATCAACATAAGCGGAAAAAGTGGGAAGAGCACTTGAAGGCCTGTAACTTCACCTCTGGTGTGAGTAAGCTCTGGTCAACCTGGTCCTTGTCCAACCCGACGAAGCGTGATGACAGAGTGGAAATCTCATTCGAAGGTCGCGCTTCGTCGGACCCGAAGAAATGCGCGAACTATTTTAGTCGGCAATCCACACTGCATCCTTCGGTAGACAAGGCCAAACGTCGAGTGACCAGGAGGCTGCACAAACTGCCCAAAAACAGTGCACCACTTGCTTTCACCAGCGGTGAAGTGAAGGGGGTCATCGGGAAGGCGAACGCCTCCAAAGCCATTGGACCCGACGGAATCTGTATGCTGATGTTGAAACATTTGGGGCCTGTGGGAGTAGCATACCTCACGGAGGTCCTCAATTTGTCTATGACCACTCTCATCATTCCTGATGTGTGGAAATCAGGGAGAGTGGCCCCCTGCTGAAACCGGGGAAGCCCGCCAACAGAGGAGACTCTTATCGCCCGATAACGCTCCTTTCCCCGGTCGCGAAGACACTTGAGGCCCTGCTGCTCCCATACTTCACCTGCCACCTAACCCCAGCGAAACATCAGCATGGCTTCCGTAAAGTGCACAGCACAACAACAGCACTTAACGCCATAAACACCCAGATAACTCGTGGCCTAAATCGTAACCGCCCCTGTGAGAGAACTGTCCTAGTAGCGTAGGACTTGTCAAAGGCGTTTGACACCGTCTGCCATTCCACGCTGCTAGAAGACATTGAGGCCTCCTCTCTCCCACAGGGACTGAAGCGATGGTCGGCGAGTTATATGAGTGGTCGACAATCATCAGTAATCTTCAGAGATCAAACCTCGAAACCAAGAAGAATAAAACAAGGGGTTCCACAAGGTGGTATTCTCTCCCCCTTACTTTTTAACTTCTACATCTCGAAACTCCCCCAGCCTCCTGAAGGAGTTTCCCTGATCTCGTACGCTGATGATTGTTCGATTTTGGCGTCTAGGAATGGAATTGATGACCTCTGCTCAAAAGTAAACGGCTATCTCTCCAGCCTTTCTCGCTTCTTCACTGCAAGGAGCCTAACACTCTCCCCAACGAAATCAACGGCGACCCTCTTCACCACCTGGACGAACGAGGTCAGGCTAGAATTAGGCATTCACGTCGACGGCACACCTATACCGACTGTGAACAACCCAAAAATTTTAGGGGTTACCTTTGATAGCCTGCTCTCCTTCTCCGCGCACACAACCGCAGTTTATTTCTTTATTTCTTTATTTAATTATAAGTCTTTGGAATACAATCCTTACAGACTATGTACTTAACTAATTTATAGATTACAAACTAATTTTGTGCATAAATCAAACCACTTATAAGGCAGAATTAAGCATCGAGAAAAAAGCATCACTTTGCATCGAAAAATCCAAGGTGATAGCATCACTTAGTGAATTAAACTCTCGTAAAGCACGATTAACAGGAGCTTTACAAGCGTATTGAGTTTTCGTATTAACCCCATAGAACGGACACACATTGCGAAGATGCCGTTGAGGAACATTAAACCGAATCCTTTCTAATAAGTATGGACAGTCAATTAGGCCCTTGATAATTTTGAAGGAAAAGGACAAAGAGAGTATAGATCTTCGACTCTCCAAGGATTTGAGACTTATCAGCATAAGACGAGCAGCATAAGGTGGTATGGGCTCCACAAAATTTAACGACCAAAGAGCATACTTAAGAAAGCGTTTTTGTACTCTCTCCAGTCTATTTATAGCTGTCATAGTACTAGGTCGCCAAATAAAGACAGCATATTCTAAGTGAGACCTGACAAAAGAAGTATAGAGAACTTTAAAAGTATATGGGTCACAAAATTTTGCGGTATTGCGCCTAACAAAACCCAGCATTGAATACGATTTAGAGGTTACGTGGCTAATATGACTGTTGAAAGAAAACTTGCTATCAAATATAACCCCAAGGTCCTTAATCTCACTAAGACATTGAAGTTCACAATTTGATATACTGTATTTTGAGCGAAGAATATTAGATGACTTAGAATAGGTCACGTGAAAGCATTTAGATGCATTTAAGGACAGATGAGACTTATGACACCACAGACGTAACTTGGAAATGTCATCTTGTAATTTCATTGCATCATCAGGCGTCTTAATAATTGAGAACAATTTTAGGTCATCAGCGTACAGGAGACATTTAGCAAATGTAAAGCAATTACTGATGTCATTAATAAAAAGATTAAATAATAATGGACCTAGTATACTCCCCTGTGGTACCCCTGAAGAGGCAATAAAGGGAATAGAGGATACCCCATCCACAGTGACAACACTCCGCCTGCTGGATAAATATGAACTTAACCATAACAGAAAGGAAGAATGAAAACCAAGGCATCCCAGTTTATAAATTAAGACTCGATGAGAGACCCTATCAAAGGCTTTTGAAAAGTCAGTATAGATACAATCAACCTGCGAGCCAGCCGAAAAGGACTCAATGCAATACTCACTGAAGACAGCAAGGTTAGAAATCGTCGACCTCTCCGCAACGAAACCATGCTGATAGGGAGAAATAAGGGACTTAACCGCAAAGCTCAACTTAGCATTGACTGCATGTTCAAAAATTTTGGAGACGGTGGTCAGTTTGGAAATGGGCCTGTAGTTACGCACATCATTTTTGTTGCCACTTTTGAAGACAGGCGTAATAGACGTAACCTTCCAATCGTCAATAAAGATCCCAGACGAGAGTGATTTGTTGAAAATAAGTTGAAGAGGAAAAACCAGGGCCGGACAATTTTTCAATAAGATGGGGGAAAATCCGTCTAAATCTGTTTGAGAAGAAGCTTTGAGATCGTTAACAGCTCTAATAATATCCTCGGAAGAAAGATGTAGAGCTCCGAAATTTAAGGCAGAGTTCAGACTGTTCGATAAATCAAGCGGCAGACTACTATCGTCCACAGAAAAATTCGATTTAAAAAAATCGGCAAATAAGTTAGCTGCCTCATCCGGAGTTTTCGCCGAGTAATCATCAAGGAAAACTCCGGTAGGCACACTAGCGGAACTTTTTTTGTCCTTAAGATATTTCCAAAAACTTTTGGGATTCGATTTAATGTTTCCCTCTATTTTGCGCATATACTCGGAATAAAGAGATTTATTCAAAATATTAAAATCCTTTAAGTATAGCTTGTATTTACTGAAGAAGAAGTTATTCTCACTCTTATGAAATTTTTTTAAGAATTTGTTTTTAAGATTCTTGAGTTTATTTAATTCTTTAGTGTACCAAGGTAATTTATAGGCTCTTTTTACCCGCAGGGGGATCCTATTTAAACATTGGGTGTATACGATCGACTTGAAAGCGGAAAAGCTGACAGATGTATCAAGCCCACCAAGTAGCTCCTCCCAATTTATTTCAAGTAAAATATCATTAAGACTTACAAAGTCACACGAAGAATAATTAAAGATTGGTCTACTCACAGTAGTAACCGGAGGAAAATAATAAAATCTAAACTCGACAACAAGTGGTAGATGATGTCTGTCCTTAGAAGTAACTGGATTCAGGCACTCACTAACTTCACAACAAAAATTGTCACTTATAAATATAAGATCCAGAAGCCTATTTAGAGAATTAAAATAATTATTAATTTGAATTAAGTTAAGACTAAGTACATTATCGATGAAATACAATTCTTGACTTGAGTTGACATTATATGGCGTGAGACCGTAATTATTAGGAATGCTGGTTGACCAATTAATATTAGGTAGGTTAAAATCGCCGAGCACGCAGAGGTGATGCTCCTTAACGTTGTTTAAGACTAATGAAGCAATGTTATCTGCGTGGGCCTTGTATAATTCGAAAGAGCTGCCCGGGGGCACGTACGACGCAAGAAGATACAAAGAGTCTTGCGGTGAGGAACCGTTAACACAAACACAAAGCTGATCCAGTAAAGAATCACCATTCGAAAGTGTGACCAAAGACGCTTGCAGTTGACGCTTAATGGCAATAAGAACACCACCTCCTCGAAGGCAGCCAGTTTTTTCAGCATCACGATCTTTACGAAATACATTGAACAGATTTGAGTTGAAGAATTCACCGTCAAAAAAATTCTCATTCAACCATGTTTCGACGAAAACAAAGATGTCGTAATTCATTTGCTCACTAAAGTTGTGCACCATTTCAGACTTGGTTCTCATACCAGATAAATTCTGAAAGTAAATTTTCAGCTCTCTATTATTTTGTATGTGCAGTCGGGTACTACTTGCTACGTCCGTAATAGCTTTCGTCGACCCTTCCGAAAATTCAGAAAAGGCTTAACGGTAACATTTGTTGGCCAGATATCCGGGCATAGTAATTTCTCATAACAGGACTCAGGGACTCCTAATTTAAAATTAATCCTATTCAGGGATTGAGCTGAGACATCTTTTTTAATTAGTTTAGAGCATGAGATTAGAGTTCTGTCTAAATCAATTTGTTTAGCTACATAATTTTTAATGTCATCCTCAGATACGGATGGAGAAAAAGAGGCCAAATGAAGCAATTTGTAGCGGTCAGCGACAATTAGATCAGTATTATCACTAGTTCCTCTTATGCGAATATTATTATTATTGTTATGCCGTTTATGCGACACCTTTACCCATTGTGCATTGCCAGTCACATTATTCGTCACATCAATAGGCATATGAGAGGAAGCAGCTGCGTCAGATGCTGGCGCCGCAGTCACTGCAGTCGTAGAAGTAGTAGTAGTAGTAGTAGTAGCAGTACCACAGGCATTCTTATTGCTGTTTTTTCTAGCCCGTTTATTCGATACCTTCACCCACTGAGCATTATCGTTGCCAAAAACAGGTAAAAGAGGAGAAGCAGAAGCTTCGGATACTGGCGCCGCAGTCACTGTAGCCGTAGTTGAAGCAGCGCAAGCATTAGCTTTATCTTTCAGCGCACAAGCATTAGCATCAGCCGTAGAAGAAGATGGGAGAGCAAAAACTGAGATAACATCAGTTATTGCCGACGTCACAGTGCACGACGCTGTTGATTGCATTGGGCAACCCATTGTTGTTATTGTGGGAATATTATTAGAGTCGGTGCTCATGTTTGATGAAATAATATGAGCATAGGAAAGTGCGCCAACGAAAGATGGAGCAGAGGAAGCACAAGTTGACATTGAATTAACTGGCATCGAGGAGTAATTAGTTTCACTGTTTACTCTTAGCTTATCAAAAGCAGCATTGAAAGAAACTCGTAGACTCTTTACTTCAGAAGTTAGCGCAGCAATAATTTTATCTTTATCGGCAAGTTTACTTTGAATGGATTGAAGGGCCGAATATATTTTTGTCGATTCCAGCACCAGGTTATTATTAGCTTCATTTAGCGCACTCACCGACTTTAACACACTAGCATTTTCTGTTTGAAGAGATGCTATTAGATTAAACAGAGAATTTATTGTTTGCTGGCTCTCGGCATTAATAAGAGAATTATCACTATGCTTCGTAGAATCTCCAGACTTCGGAGAATTAGAAGAGGAAGAACTAGTGATGACGGTTGACGTTTTCTCCTTTGTAATAGGTGGAGGAGGTGAACGGAGGGAAGTCCGACGCAGAATAGTGCAAGCTTCACAAAAAAAACACTGACCAGCACTTTGCAAAAATTCGACATCAGCCGGACGAATACCAACACAAGTGGCGTGGAAGAGATCATTGCACTTTGCACACTGCACTTTCTGCTCTTTAGGAAGATTTCTATCAACCTTTTGATCGCACACACAAGGCATTATTGTTTTTTGCATATGCGTGAAAAACTTTGTAATTATGTATTGATTTTATTTAAATTATCGATCAGTCACAAAAACAAGAGTCACTATCCCAAAATTATAAGTAGGTAATAATCCACTACTTCAAAAGGCACTTGAGAAAAAAGTCACATTCTCACTAATATTTAATAAATTATTAATTTATAGAGAGAAGTAGGAATGCAGATAAAACACGTCCGAACAACAAAGTACAGAGCCGCAACAAGGTCCTCAAGTCGCTCGGCGGCAGCACTTGGGGCAAAGACAAAGAAACGTTGCTGGCAACATACAAGGCAATTGACCGGCCGGTTCTAAATTATGCAGCGCCAGTTTGGTCGCCGGGGACTAGTTGGACGCAGTGGACGAAGCTACAGACTTGTCAGAACGCCGCACTCCGGACAGCGACTGGGTGCCTTCTGATGACGCCTGAGCACCACCTACACAGCGAGGCCCAAGTGCTCCCCGTAAGGGAACACAACAAAATGCTCTGTAAGCAGTTTCTGGTGGGGTGTCACAGAAGCGAACACCCCAACAGACCACTGCTGGAGGAGGAGCCTCCGCCCAGGCACGTCAGGGGGCACCTATTCGTGTACAAGGACGCAGTCCAGACCCACACAGACCAACCCCTGGACCCAATGACGTACAGACAAGCGATTAACGACATTCATAGGGAGTCAGTCTCCACCTACCTCGACTCCCGGCCTAAGAATGTCGTTATCGGAGCCCAATCACCACCTGTGGAAGAGACGGAGCTTCAACTACCTAGAGAGACCCGCGTTACCCTGGATCAGCTACGGTCTGGATATTGTAGCCGCCTAAACAGCTACCTGTACAGACTCGACCCAAACATCCCAAATGAGTGCCCGGCATGTGGAGACTCTCCCCACGACACCAACCACCTCTTCACATGCCAGCTCAATCCGACTCAACTAACACCCCTCTCCCTTTGGTCCGACCCCATCGAAACAGCTCGTTTCCTGGGCCTACCGTTAGTTGAGCTTGACGATAATGATTAAAAGTTGACCCGAAACAGGCGGGGCTTACTAGTGCCGCTACAACAACAACAACAACAACAACAGGATGCCTCCTGATGTCGCCTGAACACCCCCTGCACGGCGAGGCGCAAGTGCTCCCTGTAAAGGAGCACAATATAATGCTCTGCAAGCAGTTCCTGATCGGGAGCCACAGAAGTGGCCACCCAAGCAGACAGCTGCTTGCAGAGGAGCCCTCGCCTAGGCACGTCAGGAGGCATCTATATGAACTGACGGACGAAGTCCAGAGGTTCATTAAGCAACCTCTGGACCCGACAGCTTACCGACAGGCCCTGAACGGCATTCACAGGGACTCAGTCTCGAGTTATGTAGACTCTAGACCTGTGAATGCCGTTCTAGGCATACCACCCCCGGACATAGACGAGACGGAGCTTCATCGGCCTCGGGAGACACGCACAACGCTTGCACAACTTCGCTCCGGCTACTGCAGCAGGTTGAACTCCTACCTGAGTAGGTTGAGTGAGGATGTGCCGAATGAGTGTCCGGCATGCGGAGAGACCCCACATGACTCGAAACATCTCTTCGCATGCCCGGAATACCCGACAACCCTAACGGCCTTGTCCCTGTGGACAAACCCCACAGAAGCTGCACGCTTCCTAGGGTTGCCGTTAGTGGAACTTGACGACAACGACTGAGATACCAACCGTCCTGGGCGGGGTTGTTGTAGCCGCTACAACAACAACAACAACAAGAATATACAAATGATAAATGACGGAGTTGGGGGACCATTTTCTTGGATGCGCCAGGAGGAACTAGCAAAATATTCCTTATCAGATGGATCTGGCAACGGTTCGATCAAAAAATTACATTACCTTAGCCATCGCTTCGTCTGCAATTGCTGCGACATTATTACCAGGTGCAAACATTGCCAATTCAGCTCTTTAGCTGCCATTGAACATATAAATCATCGAAACTCCCACGTGCTATATTTCCAGAGCATCCGGTATGAAAAAAGTTTACCAAAAAATTAAATTCATTGTTTGGGATGAGTGCACCATGGCACATAAAAAATCGTTTGAGGCTTTTGATCCATTGTTGCGGGATTTGCGTGGAAACATTCAACCATTCGGGATATTGCTCGCAGGAGATTTTACGAAAACATTGTCTGTAGTTTCTCGATTAACACGAGAGATAAATGCTTGCCTGAAATAGTCAACATTGCGACAAGACGAACATACATACACTGCAGCTGAAGTATTCGCGCGACAATAACTGGACATTGGGAACGCAAAGCTGCCAGTCAATGAGAGATTAAGACGAATTTTATGGCCTGATAATTTTTGTAAATTAGAAACATCGAAAGGAGAACTGATCGAAAGAATGTTTCTTTATTAAGAAAATTAATTTTAGGAATCACGATTGGCTCAGTGAACGTGCTATTCTTGCTGCGAAGAATAAGGAGGCCTATCAACTAAATAATAGTGGTATTGACAACAGTCGTTGCTTGAGCTGATCAGCTCTTTTACTAGACTGCCAGACCACTTGCTCACTGTGGTGAGTACCACTAATGTTATTCAATCCAGCATTCAACGTGAGGAAATAGCAAATACGTCGATAAACACCGTTGTGGAAAAAGACCATTCAACGAAATTTTTGAACTCGATTAATCTTCCAGGGAGACCTCACATACTGAAATTAAAAATAGGTTGACAGTTATCATGTTGGGGAATATTAATCAGCGAAAACTCTGCAACGCAATGCGACTCGCAGTTAAGAAATTGATGAAGAACGTAATGTAAGAAAAGATCTTAATATGGCCTTTCAAAGGTGAAGAATTCCCATGATTCCATTTAATGATGATGATTCAATTTAAAAGATTTGAATTCCCAATTCGATTGACATTCGGAATCACAATCAATAATGCTCCAGGTCGAACTTTGGAAAAGTATGGTTTAGATTTAGATGCGGATTGCTTCTCAGATGTTACGTGTTCCTGTGTCGGCAAACCAGATATCCTTGATATCTATGCAGAGAATGGAAAAATAACAAATATTGTGTGCACACGAGTACTTATTACATAACCAAACCCATATGAAAGGTATGCTTGGTTTTTTTGGTTAATAATTTATCGTCCATATAACAGAAATATGCCACAGCAAAGCGTGGCAGGGTACAGCTAGTTATTATTATATATATGAAAAGAAGTGACGATCCACTGCTTTACATTCAGATGGAGCACTAGTGTTACCACCTTCGGCTCGCTTGTTAGAATATATATATATGTATATATATGCATATATACATACATGTACATATATGTATATAT